TATAAAATCATGAGTGGTGTGGAGAAAGTGACTAAGGAAAAGTTATTTACTTGTTCCCATAATATAAGAACTAGGGGCCACCAAATGAAATTAATGGGCAGCAGGTTTAAAACAAATAAAAGGAAGTTCTTCTTCACAGAGCGCACAGTCAACTTGTGGAACTCCTTGCCTGAGGAGGTTGTGAAGGCTAGGACTATAACAGGGTTTAAAAGAGAACTAGATAAATTCATGGAGGTTAATTCCATTAAAGGCTATTAGCCAGGATGAGTAAGGAATGGTGTCCCTAACCTCTGTTTGTCAGAGGGTGGAGATGGATGGCAGAAGAGAGATCACTTGATCATTACCTGTTAGGTTCACTCCCTCTGGGGCACCTGGCATTGGCCACTGTCGGTAGACAGGATACTGGGCTGGATGGACCTTTGGTCTGACCCAGTACGGCCATTCTTATGTTCACTGGGCTTTGGAGCAGATTTTGCCTGACCAGAAAGTCCCAACAGCTGGAATTAAAGCCAAAGTATCATAGAATGGAGTCAAAGTAGTGAGTCCATTGATGTTATAAGCTGCATTTTGACACAAAAGCCTTTTTACTTCCTGAAGAAAGCACCTTTCTGTCTGAAATGTCTAGAGCTCTTTCTCAGATAAGAATGTAAGAATGGTCATAGTAGGTCAAACCAATGGTCCATCTAGTACAATATCCTGTCTACTGACAGTGGCCACTGCCATATGCTTCAGAATGAACAGAACAGGGCAATTACTGAATGATCCATCCCCTGTCATCCAGTCCCAGCTTGGGGCAGCAAAAATGGTAGAGCCGGCTCTGCGGCACAGCAGGGGGTGCGTGCTCAAAATTTTTTTACTGATAGGGGTGCGCAATCAAAAGTTTGGAGACCACTGCTCTAGGGGGTTCATGGCCCCTCTGATCAACTCCTCCCCCTCCCTCCCACCACCTCCTGCACACCCGTGGAACAGCTCTTCCGCGGTGTGCAGGATGCACTGGGAGGGAGGGGGAGAAGCGGGGATGGGGCATGCTCGGGGGAGGGGGTGGAAAGACGAGGGGAAGAGGAGGAGCAGGGGTGGAGCGGGGACAGAAAGAGGTGGGGGTAGGTGTAGGGCCTTGGGGGAAGGGGTGGAGCGGGGGCAGGGCCTGGAGCTGAGCAGAGGACTTGGGGGGAGGGGTCTCCGCGAAAAATTTTAAATCAAAATGGGGGTCCTCGGGTTGCTAAAGTTTGATAACCGGTGGTATATCTCATGCCGTTAGCCACCTGAAAAGCATACCCATTGCCTATTAGGATGCACATACTAGAGTGGTTTATTGCTATTTTGCATTTCATTTTTTAACAAAACATTGACAAAACAGTTTATGGGCTTCTACTAGCATGTAGTGAGAAACAGTCCCTATGAAAAGATAAGCGAAAGTAATAAGGAAGGGTTACGCATACCTTCTCTCTACTGTTTGAACTAGATAGGTTGTTTATTTTTTTTCAGGTTCCTTGGGTTACTTGGGCCCCTTCTTCCCAAATGCAATACCCCCAGAAGCTCTGTTGCCCCTTCTGCAGCACTTTGTTGCCCAGAAGCCAGCTTCAACTCATTTTCTTTTATAAAAGTTAAGTACAGAATATGGAACCAGCCCCTGTTTGGCTTTTACAGTAGAGAGTGAGATCAAAGGTCTAAAAGAGCCACAAACTGATACCAGGTATTTGATGGGGAGGGGAAGACAGTTTGAAACTATCACTTTTTCTCCTTCCCCACCCCAGCTACCTCACTTCAGCCCCAACCCCAAATGGTGTCTTAATATCTCTGTGCGCCCCTTTCCCCGTAACACAATGGCCATAGTGATTGTCTCGGTCCGATCCAGCATCCATCAAAGTCATTAACTCCTACTGACTTCAATGGGCATCGGATCAGATTCTCTGTGTAGTTCATGAGAAGGTGCCAGCTGTGCACCACTGGCCAATCAGAATGTTTATTTGACCTCTGCCCCATCCAGGCTGGGGTGCTTATTGGGTGCACTAGCACTGGGGAAATGCAGCTTACGTTGCCCGCCAAGCTCTTGCAGGGAAGAAATGGCCTTTAGATCAGTGTTTAAGATGAGTTTAATTTAGGGACCTGAGTAAAGGCTCCCAGTTGAGTTTCTAAAGAATAATAAAGAGGCAAGGAGTGGAGTGGCAGGAGGAATAGGTAGGCAGAAGGAGAAAGAAGGATTTTATTTTGGGAGTCTAGAAAGAGATGGATTTTTCACTCAAAGAGCAGTCAGGTAAATTGGCAAACCTTCTAAGTCTCACTTGTTGTAGGGCTGTATTTTTGTAAAAGTCGTATGTATGTATCGTTAGCTCTTAACAGAGAAGCTTTCACCATTTTCAAAAGCACTAAAATGATCTTAGGCCTGGTTTACACTTCATTTTGCTGGCATAACTATGTCAGTTAGGAGTTTGAATGAAAAAAATCACCCCCCAACCAATCTGCTAGCTAAGGCCCTAACATAGTTGCAGTTATTCTGGCAAAAAAGCCCCTTTGCTGGTATAATTTATTTCATTTGGGGAACTGGTATAAACTATACTGGCTAAAAAGCATTCTTTTGCCAGTAAAAGCTCCATTCACTCAGGGAGGGTTTGCCAATATAGCTGTACTGTATAACTGTGCTGGCAAATCCTTTCTAGTGTAGACAAGGCCTTACACTGGTATACTGCATCTACCCTGGGGCTTTTACCAGCATATCTATGTCGGTAAAAGAATCAGACCCCCTGAATGACATGTAGCTATGACAGTAATACATTAAGTGTAGCCCAAGCCTTAGCAGTAGGACTTTTCTTACACTACCTGTGGCAAAAAACTGTGAGTTGGCATGATATATTATCTTAGACCCTGATCCTGCAAATGTTTAAGCAGATGCTTAACTATTAATTAATTAATTAATTAAGATATCCCATCTCCTAGAACTGGAAGGGACCTTGAAAGGTCATTGAGTCCAGCCCCCTGCCTTCACTAGCAGGACCAAGTACTGATTTTGCCCCAGATCCCTAAGTGGCCCCCTCAAGGATTGAACTCACAACTGTGGGTTTAGCAGGCTAATGCCCAAACCACTGAGCTATCCCTCCCCCCATAACATAAAACATAACATTACATTATGCTTGTGAGTAATTACAGGATTCTGCAGGCACAGGGGTCCACCCATGTGTATGATCACACAGGACTGGGACGCTAAGGGAATGATTTTCCTATTGGTGGTGCTCCTGGATTGAGAGGAGCCTCTGCACTTGGGCCAGAAATATCAGCCATAGTCTTTTGATCCATTAGCAGTATAATACTACAGTATTTTTACAATTTTTTTTTATCATTTTTCAACTAAGCTTGTGCTCGGGTTATAGAAATCCTTCTTTCTTCCTTGCACAGAAACTCTAGGGAAATCAGAGTTTCCTTGAGATTGACGTTTCAGACACAACCTTACCAGCAGCACACTACAGTAAAAAGGGAAAGGCAGTTTCTCTAAGCCTTTTCTCAGAAACACCTTTCTGCCATCTCTCGCTTCTCCTGTCTCAAAAACAAACCCCGTGTTGTTTTGGAAACCTGAAACAAAAATGACTCAGACTGAGTCTGACTCATACACAGTGGAGCTACTGCTTCTTCTGCAGCTGCCAAGTCACCTCTGGGAAGAAATACACAGGGTTTCCCTACAGCACACAGCGAATCTGGTGGATTGAACCAATAGGGGGGTGGTTTGCTATAATCGCACCAAAGTAGGTAAAAATGAGGGCTCCTTCCCACATCTTTTCACTGATGATCCTCCTCCTCCTCCGCTTCCCCCACCTCTCTCCTCCCCTTCTCTCCTTGCCTCACACTCCCTGCTCGTCTCACTCCGTGCCTGCTTCCACCCTGCCTCCCCTCCCGCCCCTGCCTCCTTCCACCCTGCCTGCTTCCACCCTGCCTCCCCCCTCTCCTGCCTGCTTCCTTCCCTGCCTCCCATCAGTCCCATCTCTTCTTCCACCCCGCCTCCCCTCCCACCCCT